TCTCATTAGGACTCCAGGCAACTTTTTCCTGTAGCCAATGACTAGAGTAGTGTTAATAAGTCCCAAAATAAGCTGAAGAAACAGCTTTCTAGTGCTCCATGCTGGTTTTCAATAATTCTTTAACTGACATCAATCTGTGGGGAAATTTATAGTATGCGGTTATTTCATTCGAGTATCTCACATGTTCCTCGATGTTGTTTTGACCTTCCATGTATATAAGATAAGATTTCATAATGACTCAGAGTACTGTACTTTATAAGAAAAGGCACAAACAGTGTGTATTTATCAATTCACTTGCTGGTGTGGAGCAAAGTATATCGGCCGTACGCAACGTCAAGTCCACAAACGTATCCTGGAACACTGCCCAGCTTGGTTAGCCAGAGGAGAAAAGAAGAATACCAACAGCTCAATCCTCGAACAACTTGTTATCTCCGGACATCGAGCACCCCCACACGAATGCTTCACAGTGGTACACAGAGTCCCTCAATATCGTGCAAAAGGACTCCGGATACGACATCTGTACATAGCTGAGGCATTAGCTATTCGTGACATAAAACCGGACCTATGCATACAAAAACGATACATACATTCTCTAGCCCTACCATGGCCAGAGTAAATTTCTGACTATAATTTTTCTCCTCTCTTTTAATATGTAAGTTCACTATTATTATTATTATTATTATTATTATTATTATTATTATTACTGTTCTTAATACTTTTATTATTATTACTATTCCCACCATCCACATTTTATTACTACTCTATGACTGTCTATCAATAACATTGCTTTTTCACACAGATCTTATACAAAACTACTGTATAACCTTTCCACTAGTTCCTGTCCAATCTACACTAGCTTATTGATTAGTTGCTCATTATCTCACACTTGTTACGTCATGCCAACTTCTGTCTGCTTTCTAACTTACGATTAGTCATCCCTTCTTACACCTCACACTATGTAGTAGAATTTTCAAGGACAAAGTTTACCAGTATCTGATTGGTCAAAAACGTGTTTAATTATAATTACGATTGTACAGCTCATGAAAATGAATCGTCGAAAAGAAAATTTTCTTCGCTGTTTGTGCCTTTTCTTATGACTCAATATGGGAATATTTCGTTTACTGTACTTTACTCTAACGATTAAAAATAAGCTGGCTGTATGTGTTAGTCTTATGATGGATGATAAGTGTTCTTTCTAGGTAGCTCATATGATTATAGGACAGATTCAAATACATATTTCACGTGAAAAATCAACTTGTCATTGGGATGCGTTAGTGTTAATGACCTCACATTTTTTTTTCAGTGACTATGAATTTCACGTGTATAAGTCATAGATCGTAAATTGAATAATACATTAAATGTTTCACTACTATTACTTCTTAGTTACTTTTCCGATTTGTTTCGCAATATAACCTAGTGATCATGGGTTGAAACACATGACTGATTAGTCAGAAAGTCACCTTACTCAATGTACTGCACAACAAAATAAGTGGGGCAAACCAATACTTGAGATAAGCAACTGAAGATTTCTTTTGAATAATAAAACATGGGGGAAGAAATTTCCTCTAATGCCATGCATGGGTCAGGTGATCCACAACGGGACACTCAGCTAAGCCTGACTTTGAACTGAAGACAGAAGTAAAATAAGTTCGCCTACTATCGCTGATGATTTTCATAGTTGTAGTGGACTGGATTATTCGTCAGGTTGTGCACAGAGAGTGAGAAGATAGGAATAAGCTGGACCGATAATAAGACACTAGAAGATCTAGTTTTATGCCCTCATCAACCTACCTGAAACCAGTATGGCGATTTCCTGCACTCAGCAGAATAAAGAACAAGATTCGGACTTTGTTCAGCACAAATGTTAAGTCAATCAGTCAGTCAGTCACTGATTCTATATGGGTCATGAACTCAGTATGAGGCTCAGGAAAAGCATTTCCAACAACCAGATGCAGAATTTTCCCAACAGCTACCCGAATAGCTGGCCCCATATTGAAGAATAAATGGCCAGTCAGAAAGAAAGAATTAACAGCAAAGAACTCCTGCTGGGATTAAACCAATAAGCAAGAGCCGATTGCCCAACAAATATGTAGGAGAAAATGGAAATGGATTGGGCATACACCACCAAGGAGGTCTTCAAATGACATCGCTCTCAACAGTTCACTAAAATTATTAGCCTACAGTATTCATCAGTCAACACTGGATACTGACCTCGAATGGTTTAGTTGACTGGTTAAGCTGAAGACTGATAGTCAAGCATCCATTGCATTTGACACACCATTGTGTTTAGTTCGTTAGATCGTGCACGATCCCCCCCAGCTAACTAAGCATTCAATATAGCACAACAGTTTTGATACCGAAATATACTCAGTGTTTTGATGTTCTTACTGGCCTTTGATCTAATCATAACAAATAATATACGAGTTGGAGGATAAGAACTCATGTCGGTGCATATCGTAGATTGCGTAAACGTCAATACTCCTCAATCTCCTAAAGATTTCACCATTTTCTTTCCCAAACATTAATTATTTATTATCAATATTTTTATCCTGTGGTATGGGAGTGATCGCATAGCTATTAATTTTTACCTTGGATTCGCAATAGGCCAAAGGGCTGTATTAGTACGCTTCCTAATCTTCAGGTTGAATATTGTTGTCATGACAGCCTTCAGTACGGTTGGTGGCATCATTGTAGCCACTCCCTCAGTGTTCTTATGGTTATAATCTGAGTGACTTGAGTAGATTATTTACCCTTCAGTTAATAATTTGGACAGTCCACTTGCATTCTATTCGTTCTCATAGATTCATAGCATATCTCGGCAATCTTATCGCCCTTCCAAGTTACAAATATCATCTGTTCACGCTTATTTACACCTCCATCGGAAGAAGATATATCATCTGACTGACTTCTCGAAGACTTCCACCAGTTCATGTCGTTATGTCTTTTCATTCAATTCCAGTGAAGAATAAGTGTTTTTTCTATTTTTCTTCTGTACGTTGAAGCTTCTGTAGCGATTACATTGATTTTCCGGCGAAAATTACTTAAATTTGACTAGTAAGTAATTACAATTTGATGTAAGAAGTATTTAGCTACTCATGTTATTCAGTAGTATGTAGCATTTGAAAAAATCACATTAGTATTCGTATGTATTATTATCCCATTATGGTTCCAAGTCATTTCGAGTTAGCTCTGTACAACTGTTCATGGACTTTTGTTTCTTCCGAACGCCGACCTCCTCGACTTCAAAAAGCCTTCCATAACGCAAAGTTGACCAAGAAGTAATTTGGAAAGTATTTCAACGTTATGGCATACAGTGCAACAAGTCTTTATCAACCCCACTAATAAACACCTATATTTGACAATGACAACGTGTCACGTGGTCCACAACAGAAAACTCAGCGAAGCCAGCCTTCGAAGTAAATACAGGAGTAAGATAAGCTGGCTGCCTATTATCACTCATGATAATCCTAATAGTGGTGGACTGGATTATGCGGAAGACTGTTCGGGGACAGGAATACATTGAACCACCAACAAGAAGACTCCATCTAGAAGATTTGAATTTCGTAGCAGATGATTTATGTCTAATGTTACACAAACTCGAAGACTTGAACTCGAAAACCAGTAAGCTGGCTGAAGAAGCAGGCAGCAAAGACAGGATTCCAGTTGAACATAGAAAAGACAGAGATGATGATGATGGTAACCAAACAACCAACCAAGCTCCAACAACAACAACAATCAGCACCAATCACCATCAACGAGAGAGATTTGCCTCCTTCAACTACAGGCGGAACGGATGTAGATGTCAAAACCAGACCAGAATAGCAAAGGCAAGATACATGTTCATCAACCTGAAACCAGTTTGGAAATCTTCTACACTCAGCCGGCATAATGAACAAGACTCAGATACTGTTCAACACAAATGTGAATTCAGTCACCTTTTCTCAATGGATGAGAAGCTTAGCGTCTCACGAAAAAGATTTCCAACAGGCCAGTGGAGACTTTTATCAACAGCTGCGTTCGCTCCATATTGAAGACCTAATGACCAGAAAAAAATCAGTAACAAGAAATTCTGGCAACAAACAAACAGGTAAGAGTCGATTGTTCAACAAATATTTAGGAAGAAATGGAGACTAGCTGATCGGGTATACGTTGAGGAGGCCATCGAATGATATAGAGCTCAATGGAGAACATTGTTCAAGTGGAAAGTGAATGTGAAGTGACGAGTTGGTGGGAGGGTGACATGGAGGAGATCGTTTAGGAAGGAAGGAGAAGGAGGAGATGAGAGATTATGGTTAATCGTGGAGCCAGCCAGCTGAAAAGGACAACAGAGAATACCTCAAATTGGAAATATGTTGTTGCAACCGTATGTTCCACTCGGAACTCAAGGGAATAAAAAATAATAATGATACGACTAGAAAGGGTCAGCAACATCACACTCTGAGAACAAACCAACCAATATCCTATAGCCTAAATAAATGCGTCGGTGGCACAGTGGTTAGGACTCTCGCCGACCATGTTTATGGTCCGGGGTTCGAGCCCTCGCCGACGCACACCTGATATCTATGGTCGGCCTGCGAAATTTGGGCTACCGATATCCACGCTGAAAATTCCATACTTGTACCAAAAATACAGTGTGGAATCAAGCTGTAATCAAAAATAAAATAAATAAAATATCGAAGGGAGTGGAGATAGATCTGGCGAACACGGAGTGGACCGTTGAGAAACACCACGTTGCTAAGCAGGCCCTTCGACTAAAACCCGAACTGGAACGGCTAGTTGTACGTGGCCTCGAGAGTGACATGTGGGCGAGGAGATGAAAACTTACGGAAATTAGTGCGGCCAGCTAAGGAAGAGAAGAGCTGAAGCAAGATGTTCTACTCGGAACCTAAGGCAATAATAATAATAAACAAATCTAATCCTTACAAACCAAACGCTTGAAAATGAATAAAACGTTCTGATACTTTTGTGCTAGTGTAAAATTATGGAAAACAAAGTTATTTTATATAGCATAATAATATTGTTTATTAAAAGTACTATAATAGAAGCTAAAAAAACAACAGACATACTGTTTCATATTTACTCATACTAATACCTTCACCAGGCACACACAGACATGCGAACGACACAAAGTTGTGTAATCGTGCCTGTCTGTATATATATATAACGTGTTAATAGGCTGAACTAGCCTTATCAATAGGTTTAAGTCGTGGACTGTCATTATGACTACTACTCAGAGTTGGTGTTGTTTGCGGACGTTTGGTTACCTCAGTAGTTGTCTTACTCAACTCAGTTAAACCACTAGTGATAGCAGTTCCAGGTGCTGGTAGATCACCTGGTTTTCCAGTTAAATTAAATAATCTTGGTGGATTTGGACGTTTAGGTGGAACCTTTTTGATTGGATCAATTTTTTCATTGTCTCTTGACTGTTCAGCGCTTTTTTGTGTAGTTGTTATTGATTTGGAGGGCGTCTTCGATGCTGATGCTGGTGATGATGATTTACTGATAGATTCAGTGACTAGTTTCGCCTTCCAATCTTCATTGTTGCGTTGATCTCCGTCAGTTGACAAAGAGTTTGCATGATATGGAAATATTGTATTTATCTTCTCTGGTCTTAAAAATATCTAAATAAAAGTTGAAGAGCAAAGACATAGATGTTTTAACAAATTGAATAAAACAATTCTTTTCAGCCTTCGATAATATAGTGTCCTTTTTACACATTAAAACTGTATACTACTGAATGATTAAGATGAATAATTGTATACAATTTGCATCAACCAAGAGTTTTTTTGATGTGGTTGTGTTCTCTGGGCTGGATAGTTAATTTGCGAAGCTTTCATAGCCACCTCTACTAGGCGACATCTTCACCGAATACACTTGAATTCGATGAAGTGAGCTTTTAGATTTCTCCACGAGTGTATTAATCATCTCTCCTGGTGACCACCACCTTGGACGTGATTGGCTGTTTTTATGTGTTTTCACACCTAGACTGCTACCTGTGTTGGAACTGATTGTTTCTTTGACTTGAACTTTGACCCCTTGTGTGTAAGACTTCCTTCTTATCAGTTGGTAAATTTTGTCTATCTCGATGTGTCTATTGACTGATGATTCATTGGAATGCCAAGCTTCTAAAAATTCTCTAGCACTTTTGTTGTTTCCTCTGTTTGGTATTTGAAAGTTGTCCCAGTCGAATTGATGTCTGTGGTTGTCTGTATGCAGTGGGTGATATGAGGGAGTGGATGTCATGTCTTTTGACGGCTAGCTTATGTTCGTGGCCAATGTAGTGTTTTCGCAGTGTTTTTCACTGCAAGACTCTTCAAACCTTTAGGAATTGACGTCGCACACAAACCAACAAAATCACTTCACTCAATTCTATGTCAACCAAAAGACTCAACAACGAAAGGAGACAAAACCAACATCATCTACAAAATAAACTGTAACAACTGCGAAAAACACTACAGTGACCAGAGTGGACGACCCTCCTCTTCGTCTTCGTATCCATGCGTATAAGCTAGCCATCAAAAGACATGACATCCACTCCCTCATATCACCCACTGCATACAGACAACCACAGACATCAATTCGACTGGGACAACTTTCAAATACCAAACAGAGGAAACAACAAAAGTGCTAGAGAATTTTTAGAAGCTTGGCATTCCAATGAATCATCAGTCAATAGACACATCGAGATAGACAAAATTTACCAACTGATAAGAAGGAAGTCTTACACACAAGGGGTCAAAGTTCAAGTCAAAGAAACAATCAGTTCCAACACAGGTAGCAGTCTAGGTGTGAAAACACATAAAAACAACCAATCACGTCCAAGGTGGTGGTCACCAGGAGAGATGATTAATACACTCGTGGAGAAATCTAAAAGCTCACTTCATCGAATTCAAGTGTATTCGGTGAAGATGTCGCCTAGTAGAGGTGGCGATGAAAGCTTCGCAAATTAACTATCCAGCCCAGAGAACACAATCACATCAAAATTATCAACCTGGGCTTCAAATCTTCTCCATCATATCAACCAGAAATGCTCGCCAGGCAACCAGCCAGACAAACGGACGGTCGTTCCAATTGTTTGAGGTTGAGCTCATCATTAGTGCAGTACTTGATTTGACTGCTGGCAAGCTATATCTCCATTTGGAGACCGAAAATGTTCAGATCACAGTATGTGGTCTCCTCGATTGCACAAATAGTTATCCAGAAAGCAGGCAGAAAAATATATACTACTGATAAATTGAGTTGAGTAGTATAAATGAGTTTTGCACCTTTCAAATCAACCAATAGTGTTTGTTGACCAGATGGAGGGGATCTTTTGATTTTTGTTCACAGCTCATATTTTTTTTAAATACATAAATACTGGCATTTCAGACTGAAGGCAATGGCATTTTGAAATAGATTAATACTAGTTATTTCTAAATAGTTTAGTGTGGTAATGTGGCTCAATGAGTAACACACACTCAACTTACAGGCAATAGGCCGGGATTCGAATCTCGCCTTACCTACCTCAACCTGACCATCGTAAGCAGTCATCGCACAATAACTGTGTGACTTATAGCCCTTTACCGAATATATAAAATACTAACCAGCTAATCAAATTATTCATTAGTCTTATAGGAGGTAAATCTCTACTCCAAATAGCTCAGTGGTAGGTAGCATCGTCTCTGACTTCAGAACTAGGTGATGCAAGTGTTCCTTAAAGACTGCAGATACGTCTCGCTGACTGGTGAATGCTAAAATACAGGAAATCTAGGTCCAGGACTTCCTGCTGATTACCTTGAACCATCTAACAAAAAGCAGCTATACTGGTAATTTCGTCATAAATACGTCGATGCCATAATTACTGAAAACAGACATCTTATGTTCATTATTAGGAAAAGACGTTTTATGCGACTAAGCACCAACTTATTTCACAGTTACTTATAGAATTCATAGCATGCTGGTGAAAGATGTATGAATAAAACTTCTTCAAAATGGTGAGGGTATGGCAATTCACCTATAAACTTCACGTAGCCTCTAGTAGGATTGCTAAAGAGGGATGGTTAGACAGTGAGACTAGCAAATCCATTCTGTCGAAAAAGATAACACCATTTCACCAGAAGCTTCAAAAAGCTCAATTTTTAAGTCCTATATTCCATTCGAAACATGAAGGAATAAAACCGATAAATTTAATTAATCAAGGTTGAAAGCTGTCTATCGGAGTTTTTTCCCATTGTGACTCTTCCCTACAATTTCTGAAAAAGTGAGATTTTTATTTGGAAAACTCATCACACCCCTGATCAGCGCAAAGATATCAGTTGTTTCAAGTCGTCTTAGACGAGCACACTCTCTGATGATAACAGATGAGAAAGGAAAAGAAGAAGAAGAAATATCAAACATTACTGAAACTCTCAAGCAAAACAACTACCCAAGGAACATCATCAACAAAATTAACACATACATTAAGTATGGCCGTAAACACATTCAGAAAACATGGACATCAACAGTCGTCATTCCATATAGAGCAGAGACGTCAGACGATATCAGAAGAGTACTCAATCAGCTCGACATTAGAGTTTTTCCAAAACATCAGACACACTTCAAAACAACCTTGTCCATATAAAAGACGAAATCCCGAAAGATTCTCTATCTAATTGTGTCTATAAAATAAAATGCTTGGAATGTGATGCGATCTACATCTAACAAACATCACCAGAGAGAAATCAAGGTAATCAGAAGAAATGAACACCGTAGAGCATCTCTTCGACCACCACCAAGAAAGCCAGTTAGTGAACTATAAAAGCTTGAAAAATTATCAGCCATAGCTCGTCTACACGCCATAGAATCAGGCCACAAAATTGATTTTGACAATATTGAAACCATCCAGAAAAAGCATTTCAGAAATCACAAAGAACGTCTCACATCATCAGAAGTACTTCATATCAAATGGAATCCGAATTGTCTTAGCTGAATGGGAATGATGGACTAAAACAGAATCTGACATTGGTTACAACACCTCTCTCCCCTCCTCAACGAAGTGACAAAATCAACACGAATGTGATAAGCAAGTTCACTATGTAAACACACACTACTTTCATAATTCTACACACTGATAAAATCCAACAATCTACACTTGATTTTATTATCTTTACCAACTGATCAACTTGACAATGAAAAACGACCCCAGACAGATGAACGGTGATCAAGTTAGTAAACTTTATTTTGATATCATAACAGACGTACTATTACCTTTGATATTTGGTTTAGGGATCTTCATGGTTATTTTGACTTTCAATATGTCCTTTTAATTTGACCTAAGTAGTCTATTTTCTCACTCACCTCTTAACTCTTTGTTATATATAAGCTGAGTGGATTTTGTAAATTCCAGTTTAATAATACTTTGATAAAGCTATTAGCATTAATTAGCGAAACGTCAGTAAAAACAATATCGTTTTGTTTTTCATTCATTGGGAAATACAAAAACCTCTATTATAATGAATATCATATACCCAATGCCCAAATTTTTTCAAACTGTTAAAAGTGAACTTGGTTTGGACATATAAAACTCACTGAAGGCTTAGAAAGCCTAAACGAATGTCCCTTCATAGTTTGGGACCTTCCAGAGGTGTTTACTGACAACCTATCAGGAAAAGTTCCAACATAGTTAAGTTATATGGTGACAACACTACTGATCACCTAAATGGTGTTTCAAACTCTAATGCCCAATGATTTCCAGCTTCTGCATATTAGAAATACAGCGTCAATGACGAAAGTCAGTGCTCCCAACAAACATGACTCATCAATTTTCTCAATCACTTTGACTTTATCACTGATCACTTATTTAATTTAAGCCATAAAATACTGGAAATCAAATATTAATCCCTAATATCACATGTATACATAAATTAGGGTGTAGTTGCAAAGATATGCCGGGTTGTTTCGACAGCATGATGATATGTTATGACCCTGTGTTATTGAGTTGTGGGTTCGTTTAACCTGACTAAAATGCACCTGCAAAATACGGCACTATAATCAAGCGATCACTTGAAAATCAACGCCTAAAACGATGACAACTGCAACAATCTTTATTAAACAATATATATGGTATATATACTACATATTATATTATATTACCGAAACCTCGGAATATTAAGCCATAAATAAACGAATCAGAACCGTCCAATCAGATTATCATATTAGTTCATGCTTAAATCATGACTTCACGGTTATTAATAAAGAAGTCCATTTTTTCATAACATGATGTTAGTTTAAGTGTAAATATCGATTTAAGATAGGAAGAAAGATATGTCGTATTCATGTAGATTAATTACCAGTAATAAATAGACGAAAGGGATGGAATTTTACAGAGTTTTGACAGCCTATAAGTAAAGATCAATAATTCCCGAGATAGCTCATAGTACAGTGTGCAAAAGTGCACTTAGCTTGAAAGAAGAAACCCGACAAGTTGTAAGCAAGTTTAATAGAGAATGGAGGATGAACTATAAGAACCCAAAATGTCATAAATATAAGTGCAGATTGATGACAAGGTAAATGGCTGTACCTACTCATTAACCCTTAATCATATAAATTTATTCTTATCTTCAAGTTACAGTATTGCCATCAGTGGTAAAAATTCTCTTTAATA